TTTTCAAGTAGACTGTAGTTAACAATTTCTAATTTCGTTCAAACATTAAATTGAATTTAAAATTCATTCATTTGGTTTAGGTTTTCAACATCTTCCATCACAATTAAAAAAAAATCCATAATGGACAGCATCAAAACAGAAAAATATAGAGAAAAAAAAAAACAATCCAAATTATTAACCACATGTTTAACAGCATTCTATCGCATTTTTCAATGCTTAAATTTTGTGATGAACCAGGTATGAACAAATTAAATACCATTTTTTCTATAAAATAAGATTCTTCCAAAGGAGAAAAATGTCCAATTGTGGCCAAATGAAGAAAAAAGAATGAAAGAAATACTCACGGATACTGATACTGCACCCCGGCCATCGCTTCTCCTGATATCTGATCAAAGTTCTGTGGTGCACCACTTAGCACCCGTGGTGGGAAGCTCTCCGGTCCGCGACGCTGTTGGAACACCCCTTCTTGTCCGTCAAGGCCACGTTTCATAGTGTCATCTACGAAACAAATGGCGGATTCTGGCACTGAGAATCAATCTTTGTCGCTAAAAAAGAAACACAAGTTGAATTAATGAATATTTATCATACGAGAGCCATTTAACAGGACATTCACATTGTACTATAGCATAGTGGACTATTCAATATTCTTTTCATTTAAAAAAAAATTTAAAAACTACTTAATCTATAAAGAACACCCAAACAAATTTGTCCTGAACATTTGCATGTTGTTCTTTTGTATACTTTAGGAAATAGCTCTTGATGACAATCAAAGAAATTGAATTTTAAAAAATCTGAAACAAAATGCACTTGAATATATTTAGAAAATGAAGGATTTGAAATCTTATAACTCCATACCAAATCAAAAAATACATACAGAAACAAAACTGATTTTAACCCTGTCTAAAAACAAAGGATTTTGACAGGTCAAATTATGTTAATTGCCTGTTACATCATCCTATATTTTGATTCCCAAGAAATCTATTTTCTACTTAGACTACAGCCATTGGATATTACTAGGCAAACTGCTGATGATCTTGGCAGCATGCCAAACTTTACTGACTGTAAAACATAAATGCTTCAGAATGATAGATATAGGCTTACATAGAACTGATAAAAATATTTACCATAGGTGTCATACTATAATTCATCATAAAGTTGAGCATTTTCTAAAAAACCTGCATTGCAATACACTATGGTAAGCATTTTAATTGCTTTAATCATGTAAATATATTCAGATTCAGATAAATTTAAATTAAAAAAATATACCTAAGGAACTTTATTCAGTGTTATTCTTTTGTTTTAAGTAGCATTCTTAATCTACACAACTACTGTAAATAACTACTTCCTACCTTATCCTAATTATCAAGTTCCTGAAAATTGTAATGTTTTCCTGATGCTCAGATAATCCAATTTCTTTGTGGTAACTACTGTCAATTCCAAAATTAATATCAAATTGGGTATGGAATATGTGATCATGTTGGAGCTTTGTGTTTAAGTATATTATTAGATAACAACATTAATTTTATATATTATAATTTATTTTGTATGAAGAATGTTGTATAATTAAATTTGCCAAAAAGAAAAAGCCCAATCAGAAATATATTATTGATATTTGGAAAATAAGTATAGTCTTCAGATTTATTTAGACTAAAGTTTAACAATGTCAAAACTGCTTACACAAAGGCAGAGTAGGCCTTGACTAGCCTAGGCTCATGCTAGCTAGAGATAAACCGCTTCTACTTCTAGGCTAGGCCCTGGCCATGCATTGATTTGTGGGTGGTATCCACCGACTGAAGAACAATTGCAGAAAGCAGAGGTTAAACAGCACCGATCAGTTTAATAATTACATAATTTGATCTTGATTATTTTAGGACTAAGTACACTGAATAAACTATATTAATATCATAGAATAAAACAATTATATTGGAATTATGTGAAGAACTCGTTAGGTCACACGTTTTCGAAAAAATTGAATGCATTCGTGTCCGCTACAACAAACAACAGACTACACAACACAGTGGGCACTAGCAGGAGTGTGTGCGAATGAATTTTCGGCTTCAACAATTTTCGTTTGACAGATAATAAGGGAGAGTTTTTAAAATGTATGCCCAGCATCAAGCAGAATATGGTAATACATAATTATTTAATGTGAACAGAAAATTTGCTAAATACTAATTATTACTAGCATTCACAACACTCCCAGACAAACACAACGACTGCCGATCGTCTCCGACCAGCAGCAAGACATGCCCTGTGATTGTGAATATGGAGTTGTTGTTTTTTCCAACACCACATCATAAATAAAAAAACGTTTTTAAAGCTAACGAAAATCACAATTACTACCAAAATAAACCGAGTTTGTCACAAGTACATACCGTTTGACTACGTGTAAAAATCAGCTTAGGTAAGTGCCTAAAAACCGAAATATCTGAAGATTTATCTTTTCGATGTGCAGAACAACAAGATCTTGGAGAATTCTCGTTTTCAAACATGGCCGACTAACCCATTCAGTTTACATTAACCATTTTGTGTTAAGGTATCCCAGTAAATTAAAAGAATATTAACATTACAAAAACGTTCAACATGGTAAATGATTATGCTTACAAAATTTAAGAAAACATATAAAATTTAATGTAAATGTGTATATTATTCATGTTTATTTATAAATATATATTTACTTAAACCCAACCACACACATAAATCCCTTTTGAAAATGGTATAGACCCATAAACAAAATCGACCAAAAACCAGGAAGCCCGCTAAACACCAATCTACAAGCTTCAAGAACGCTCTAATAACTACTATATAGCACGCCTTTTGCACACAAGTCCGTATATGGAACATTATTAAAAACTAAGTATGGCTATCAAACAACCAAGATTCATTTAAAGCAATATAGCTATTTTATTTCAATTTTTGTTCCAGTTTGTATGCCGTAACGTATATAAAAACTGTGCAGCTCGCACATCGCAGCGATGTGAGTTACAACCCCGACACTCGTCAACGTTGTGCACACTGACAGTACCCTGGAAAAGTCGGTGGTGAGCTATAAAAACTGCATTAAATACAATTCTCTTTATTACATAAATTACGAAAAACACAGGCACTAGGCTAAAAATATAAACAAATAATTATAAGCACCATGACATGACGATTATGGAGATCTTCTGAGTTTAATCTATTAAATTCTGTACCATTCTTGCAAACTGAGGATACCTCACACACCGACACAACAATGTGTAGCCTAGCCTAGCGCACTGAATGTTCCCTATGTTTGTAAGAAAACGCTCCCTAAAAACAGACACTTTTGTAGTATTCAAACTACAACCATTGTCAGTTTACTATATGCTTTCCTATTAACATATAAACATGACAATGGTTATATTATAGATATTTCACAAAAAATATTGTATAGCAGCAGCAGTGTAGATTTTCGAAGACCGAGCAAGTCGACGAATTATCAACACAATAAACAAATCAAGTTTACGTACAGTAGTGAAATGGAAAAATATGAAAAAATAAGAAGACTATGAATAAATATTACCAATCTAATAAAAATAATCTTACATTTTGTACTGATGTTTTTGATAATTGAAGATTGTTGGGTTATAATGTCCTCTTCGCCTGTCCTTTTACGACGACAAATTGTCTTCAATTGATGACGTCACTAAGCTGGTATAACAAATCACATCCAATCAAAATACCCCATTTCAAGAATTTCCCCGCGTCGGTTTATTATTATGCATAACTCCTCCCACATGGTAGTTAAGAAAACAACACTTCCGGAATCGCGGTTGTTTTAAATCATAACGTTTTGCAAGTATTGTATGAATTTTAAATTGATAGGTTCCTGCCTATATTGAGTACTCTAAAATACTTTTCTTAATTGTTAATTTTTTAGTTCAATTGTACGTAAACTATCAATTATTTTTTTTCTTTTATTTTTCTACATTTGTAATATTAAATAACACAATTCATATGTTTTTGTATTTACAGTACTTTTGTATTAAAATTAGGTACCTTTCCATTCCCTATACAAATTTATGTTTTTACAATACAACAAAGATTAAAATGAAAAGAACAAATTATTTAATGCAATTGCAAATTAGATTTTTCAGAAAAAAAAAATTATCTCATGGATAACTTTTCTCATTTTTTGATATTGAAAAAAAATTAATGATACATTTTTTTTTCGTATACATGTTTTTCCAATGTTACCATTATTATTGATGAAAAGTCACAATATATACTTGTTTTAATGTATTTTTATTTGTATTTATATAATTGCACCTAGGGTGGAAACATAGTGCAACCCCATCACAGCCCGTCAATAGCAAGTTGGGGTATCAAGGATGGCTGGCGAGAATGGTCAGCTTTTGGTTCAGAACCGGAATGGAAAATGCTGAGCCAAACCACCTTCACTTTTAGCCTTATTGAAAGTGGGTAACAAGATAACAATAGAATAACATTAAGAAAGTCTGAAGCCTACTCATTGATTGTCAACAACATATTACAACTTTGATGGTGTAACAGTAAACAACCCTATTTTATACATACAAGATACAGGGCAGACAGACAGATAACCCAGATCCTTTCAACCTGCTTTTGAATTCTGGAGCTCTTCATTCTAATACTGCAATTTAGCAGTGTCTTCACTTTACAATGGTCAACTTTTTTAATCAGTGGCTGAGTTAACCCCTATGAAAATGCATCCTGTTGGACTTCAGTCAGTTTGCAGAGACAGAAATTTGAACAAGATAAAATTATGTATATTTATGGCATAAATTTGTAAAAAAAGCTCATGTTTGTTGTGTCTGTTGTTCATAAAAAATGTCCTATTGGATAAGTTCCCAGCTAATAATTTGTTAGAACAAAGTTACAATAGCGATGCACTTTGGTTTTCAAAATGTTTTTCTGTAGAACCATCAATACATATTTTTTTATATTTTTGTTTGCTTTTTTTGTGGCAGAGGGGGACTTATCTGGCCACAAATAAAATTTCATTTTCAATCGAAATCGCCATTATTGGTGGTTTCACTAAACAAGGTATAAAAGTCTTGCCTTTAATATCTTAAATTTCAAAAATTATATTTTTATACCTTAGTTAATAATAATAGTGTAGATTTGTAGAGCGCTGGTATCTATAAAACAAGATGCTTATGGCGCTTGATATATGGACTAAGAACTTGATAATAATAATATTTATATAGCTCAATATATTTAATATTGATCAATAACTTTCTTTGCCCCCAAGGGTCCCTTTGTGTCTGTGCTACCCGGTTACCCGGTACCAGCAGCTCTCGTCGTCCACCACAGGGGCCAGGGGCGTAGCGTGGGGGAGTCGATGGGTGCGGTCGACCCCCCCTTTTAAAGAAAGTGCCCTTTAAATATGCTCGCTTCACACACAAATAACGCACCCCGCTAATTCTGAAAGCTTCGCTAAATTGCTCTGAGTTCAGCTTGCGCCCCGCGCTTTCGTTTCGACCCCCCCTCTTTAATTTTTAACCGTATGCCCCTGGGGCCTGTCTGTACCAGTAAACAGGTGTGTACCAGTAAACAGGTGTATCCCCCTACTCATTTTGAATGATGTACTGGGTTCTTTATAGTGCACAATCCGTACGGATTATAGTCCTTATCCGACAAGATTTGTTCTACAACCAGAATCATAGGCGAGTATGCTGTTCGAACCAGCGACGATATCAATGGCTGTACGTTGCAACGCCCCTGGCTTAACCGCTCGGCCATTTGACTGGCCTATAATGAGTTAAATTGCACTAAAAATAAATTGATAAACAAATAAAAATTAAATTTTTACTCTTTTAAATTGTATTTTTTGTACAATTTATGACTGTTTTTTTCTATGTTTTTTTTTATGCGACACTAACAAGAGACAGAGTTTCACATTTTTAAATTCCAATAATTATATTTTTATACCTTAATGAGATAAACTGCACTAAACATAAATTAATAAACAAATAAAAATTAAATTTTTATTCTTTTTAAATTGTAATTTTTGTACATTTTGTATTTTTATGACTTCGTTTTTCTGTATGTTTTATATTTTTTTTTATTTGATTGCAACGAGAAACAGAGTCACATTTTCTTGATGTGAAAATAAGGTATATTTATGTCTATGTAATGTATCCAAAACCTTCACAACATTTCCAACATTACCATTTTGTGTTTTAAAGGGTTACAGTAGTTATGCACCACATGTACCCGTAGCATATTTTTTAAAGATACTTGAAAGGATCCCTCAGTTGGGACATCGAAGGCGGAGGTAATGTACTGTAACCTAACATTGGAACATATGATTAACATATAAGAGATAAAATATATATTTATTAATGGTTATATACAATGTAAAATATTAAATGGGACCTGCTCAGCTGAAATAGCACCTCATCTATATTATCATCCTCATTATTACTTCCACCAAGAGGTTATGTATTTATCGCTGTTTTTCTGTCTGTTTTGCTAAAAAATAAATGGATCATCAAAACATTTAGTGGAGTATGTAATGATGTGGTCAATATGTGTGCTCCCCTCTGTTGTTGCATTCATGATGAACGATTCTGTTGAGTAGTTATAATTACAGAGTAAGGAAGAAGTGATTAAATCAGGGGCGGTGCCAGCAGCAGGCCGGGGCCAGGTAGGTAAAACACAATTCAAAAAGGGGAAAAAATGTATTTAAATAAGCCATTGAAACCAATAAATAGTCATAGTGGTACAGGAAAGCGTGGTCCAGGAGAGCTTAGCCCCCTGGACCACAAGACATTTTCAGTGACACCTGACCACACCCACTTTGCTTTCGTCTAGGATATCAGAATCCTCTCAGGCAAATCCTAGCAACTACCCCTGGATTAATCTTTCGGTTGAAGAAGTCGCAGCGATTAAAATAAATTTTCTGAAACTTTTTGCTTGAGAATCGCCCATAAACGCCTTGCCTGTATTATTTGGTATAGGCACAGAGCAGGTGTATGCAATCTACCGACGGACTGCACTCTAGCTATTACTAACATTAGCTAACATTCTGACAAACACACAGGTATATTTTCCCGCTACTGTTATTTATTTGCAAAACACTTTGAATAAATTTCAATTTCTTTTTTCAAAATATAATCAATATGTTTATAAAACACACAATAGAATTTAAATTCATGATGAAAATGAACACTTTAAAAAGTGACATAGTAATAAGTAAATTTCTAAAATTATTTGTAAAAAAAATTTCTAGTGTAAATATTTGTACAGTAATATCATAACTGTTAGTACAATTATAAAATCAATATGAAGCAGCATAGTGAACTATTTCAGATATATCATTTGCAGAAATGCAATGTGTTTATAAAACACACAAAAACAATTCTTGTGTAAATATTTGAAATATTACCATTGCTATAAGTTCATAATTAATTGTACAATTATAAAATTATTAAGCTGCATATTAAAATATAACCCAGATATATCTTTTGGAGAAATACAAACTCTGCCATATTCTTTGAGAAATTATCTTTGCCATTTCCATGGAACTTATATAGTGAACTTATGAGGGCAGCAGACTTCAATTTATCAATCATATATTCCAAGAACACTAAGCCTTGGAAATTTACAGACCATTTCATGGGATTTTCTTTTAAACAGTGCCGCCAACGTCTCGCTGGGGGACTTCCAGTGGCCTAGCCTGAGCAGCCGGCTAGTTACGAATACAGCACCGTGCAGCAAATAGCCCTTTGCAGTAGACAATATATACGATCTTTCTAGTTACTGCAATTACACTGTACTGTATATGTAAACATTGAAATAGCTTTTTAAGACTTGGACTTGCTTTTAATGTAAACATTTCATGTTTTAAAATATTTAAACTTGTAAGTAAATTAGTTTATTCGTTGATTTAATCCATGATGGTGAGTATGTAGAGCGAAATTCTAGGCCTCTGAAAGTCCCCCAGTGGTTGTTGCCAGGTTATCGGAATTTCCATTTCAAATTTCGCGAAAATGGTGTATTGTATTTTTGGCACCAAAATGGCTTTACACACCCACACACAAGTACGCCCCCATGCTGAGAACAGTTGGAGCAGAATTATGTGACAGCGGTATTCTGAATAATCAAACATTTTATTGTGCATTGTGTTCTAAATGAAATCTTGTGCCCTCAAAATTTTGAATTTGGACCGAGTACCTTTTAATGCATGCTGTTTTACAGCCATTTACAAGGTGAATTAGATATTGTATATATATATATATATATACTGTTTATTGGTTAACTTATTCGAAGGACAATGCTCATTATGTGCTCATTGTTTATTTCATTTCTATAGTCCAATTTGCTTTGTATTTCTCATGCACACAATTTACGATGAGGAAGCCTTTTAATGCATGCTGTTTTACAGCCATTTACAAGGTGAATTAGATTCTATATTTAAGCGAGCGTGAAAAAGCAGTTTCCCCCAACCAGGATTCGAACCCTAGACCTTCTGCTGTCTATGCAGATGCCTATAATCAACTGGGCCACCGAGGCGTTGTTGGGAATTTAAATCTGATTAAAGCAACTGATATTCTCACAAATGTGTGTGTGTGTGTGTGTGTATATATATATATATATATATATGAGTTTTACTAATGAGACTTAGTTTAAAGAGCATTATAGCTGTCTCTTATACACATCTAGATGTGTATAAGAGACAGGTATAGGCCTGTTACTCTAAATTTAATATACAATTACAGTGATGTGCAATCTACTGTTTATTGGTTAACTTATTCGAAGGACAATGCTCATTATGTGCTCATTGTTTATTTCATTTCTATAGTCCAATTTGCTTTGTATTTCTCATGCACACAATTTACGATGAGGAAGAACACAGGTACAAAATTTGTCTAAATAAATTTTGTCTCACTATCTCATCGTATGCAATCAAAAACATACTACAGATATGCAAGAATTATGTTTGATCCCATGTTAATATATTTTAGTACTGAGTAAACTGGTAGGATTTTGACTCATAATCGCCACCCTATGCTTACCAGGGGGGGGGGGGGGGCAAGAGATTAAGTATGCCCATATTTGGGTGAATTCACCGATACCCGTCACATAAAGTTAATAGTGTGACAAGTGTTTACACTTGCTTCCCATATCTACAAGTTGCTGTTGGTGTTATGGAGGTAGATATCTGAACTACAGTCTCCTCCTGGATACCGGATCTCATGGGCAAGCACTGGTCCACCTGGCTCCTTCCCAAAGTCGATTAGGACATCCTTGTTTAGGGTCAACCCTCCATGTTCCGTGTTAACATCAATCTGCACCATCACAGAACCCTCTCTGTTAGAATTAGAAAACAAAATAATAATATTCCTAATAAAGCAACGTGACTGGGAAAACCCCAGAATTTAAAAAAATACCTAAACTAATCAATCTGAACAAAATTCTTTCTGGTTTGTCATGGTCCAAAATAAGATATTATTAAATTCTGGCGACGATCTGGAGTAGGGGTGAATATGAAGACCATTTAAAAGGAAATATGTCAGACCTAAGTGTGCTGTAGTTTAATATAGAATAAGACTTACTTGACCATGTCTGGGTAGAACTGTACATCCCACTGGCTGTAGAGGGACGTTGACATGAAGAGGCGCTTGCCATCAAGACTCAGCTGTATCATCTGTGGCCCTCCGTGGATGCGATTTCCATTGAAGTAGAACGGTTCAGGCTGCTCGTCAAGCTCCACGTCTTTGATGACTTTCACTGGTCCATTCTTACAGATGGATCCACCAAGAAATATCTACATATAAAACAAAATTTTAATGAAATAATAGGTAGTTTTCGCAGCACGACGTTAACCTTAACATTAGCACCCAACTTACAACGCAATAACTCCGCCCCTTTTGTAAACAAATTGAAATACGCATGTGCAAGCCCGTAACTAACGTCCGTCGAGCACATAAAATCCTGAAATTAATGTACGCCGCAACGCAAGACGAATAAATTATGATGTCATCCGTTAACGTTAAGGTTACAGTCGTGCAGCGAAAACTCCCTATTTTGTAGCATTCATCTTTTTTAAAGTAAAAAAACATAAGTAGGAGAATAACTGATAACTTGCAGTGGCGTTGTGCTGAATTGCATATAGGTGTGGTTTATGGCTACCTACAGTAGCAGGCGTAAAGGGGCGCTTATAGTAGCTACATGTTCACATCATTCCACAACGACAAGGGCTAACATGAACCACAGAATCGGACTCACCCCCATTGACAAAGCTATGGGGAGGAGAAAGGGATTTTTCCCCCAGAAAATGTCTTTCCGCCCACCCAATCATATCAATCGCTTCAGTGAAGTTGACGCAGGGTATTTGCTTATCCAGTACTGCGCTTATCACGATCAATACCAGCAATGTGTTATTTTTCCCTATCTGAAATTGTGTCTCTGGTCTGCTATGGGAAAACACATTTCTCCCCTAAAATCTAAAATTTTACCTTTCCCCTCACTGGCCACCCCCAGATTTCAGACGCTGGCGCCAACACTGGTAACCCCCTACACTTTCAAAAAATGCGAATGGGTTCAAGTGCACACAAGCCAGATGTTTACACTTGACCTCCATTTTAAGTCCTATCTGAGAAGAATTGGTTCTACAACCAAACACTGGACGAGGAGAATCTCGTTTTTAAGTAGTTAGCCTTGCTTTACCACTCGGTCACCAATGACTGGCCACATTACACACTCCCTTTCCCCTCACCTGTCAACCATTGACCCTCCAGCTCCACCTGTCTTTGGACACCACTCAACATCGTCAGTCTTAAAATAATTATTACTGTAGCTCATCCAATCAAGTTACTGTGATTGCACTTCCAAATATTGTGGTCTAAAAGCACTATTTTCACCATCAAATCTCTCTCCTTGCACCTCACTAGGAGTTTTACTAATGAGACTTAGTTTAAAGAGCATTATAGAGCCTATTCAATCTCAAAATTTGCAGGCTCTGTCCTCAACGTATTTTTCAGCCATATAATATTCTTTCATTCTTTAAAATATAGGCCTATATTTATTCAGCTTAGAGAAAAGCAAAAACTAGTCTGCCTCCCTCTATAGGCCAACATACCTGTCCAACAAGTTTTGGGTTCCTGGTATCAGTGATGTCATACTGCCGGATATCTCCATGCAACCAGTTGCTGAAGTATAGATATTTATCATCCAGTGAGATCAGAATGTCCGTGATAAGACCTGTTGACATAAGGAACAATATGGTAGCAATAGGCCATGTAAAAAATAGAAATACTTCTGATAAATTGGAAGACCAAAAATTAAATAGCCTCTGGTTTTTTTGATACCCTCACATCTACTGAAGGGCAATTTTTAAAATTTATGCAATTGTTCAGTCAGTAGAGGATAAAAACATAACCAGTGGCGTATTGATGAGTTTACAGTCCTGAGGACTAGAAAGTTCTGGGGCCCATGTTAGTGTCACGAATATGTAGCAGAGGGGATGGCTGCGCATTGAAAAATCTCCTCCCAACGTTCATGAATATTAAGCCTGAAAAGACTTAGGAAATGTGAATATCCCTTCAAGATTTTGTGAAATAAAAACCAGGAATTATATTGTTTTATTGCTAGTTTTGGGTGTCCTTTCACTGATCTGAGTGTCAAGGGTCTGTATAGTAGAGTGCTGGGTGTTAGTAGAAGGACCACACCCTACCCTACCCTCCCCTTCCACTATCTATCCTCGAGAGTCAATGTGTTATGCCATTCTACATAAGTCTTATAGTATACTCTCAATTCATCATGTATCGTAGGAGTGTCCTAGAAATCAGGATGTCTGCACACTTGCATATTATATCTCCTGGAAAATTAACAAATCCTCTGCAAATTCATGATTTTACTTATAATTTTGGACACATTAAATAATAAATCATAAAATGGCAAGAAGGGAGCCAAGGGGACACAATGGGATGACAGCTCAACATAAGATATGGGTATCTTCTAAGCCCCCTGTCTAAAATAATACAGTATAATCTCAGGAAGGGGGGAGGGGAGGGTGTGCGAAATGGCCTGTGGGTACGAAAAATTGAGAATGCAAAACTAACCCTATTCTTCTACTTGATGGTACTTTTCAGTATTTCAACCCACTCAGTGAAACTAAGTTGCCACCCTCCAACCCCCAGACTACCTCCAATGTTTTTACTACAACAGTATATTATCAACTATGCTTGAAGTCAGCTGATGATGGGTATTACCATAGCACAGCAAATTAGATTATTGAAGCTCATTCATCCAGATATCCAGGAAGTGGCTTCTTCCAACTTAGTAATATTATACACTACTCAGTTACTAGAGCATCCAAATATATTCACTTGGATTTTCTTATTAATAAAATGAGTATGAAAATAATAACTTCATCTGAAAAACCCTAAAATTCTTGTTTAAAAAATTTAGAAATCATTTATCAACATCCAGACTTGTACTGTATCCAAACTTTTTATTGCCAAAGAATATAGAATAATAATTGTAATTATACATGTAAAGGGTAAAGCATAATCTTATTTTAATTTCCAAATGACAAGGTTCTGGGGCTGATTAGGTATGAAGATTGAGTTTAATATACTACAGGGCTCCCTCGAATTAAACACCACTTTTGGAAGCAGGGTTTTCATGATCTTTAGCAGCTTTGGTCTCTAATTAGAATAATAAAGATAAAAGACATTTACTAATTTGGGACCACAGAGAAGTGGTCTTTAACTGGAGGTGGCCTTTAACTGGAGGGGTCTTTAATTAGAGAGAGACCTTGTATGTGCAAAAATAAGGTGATATGAGGTTATTTTCAACTAGCTGGGCTTAATTTTTTTGATTAGCAAATTTTAAGTGGAAGTGCTTAGGGGTAGGGAAAGGGGCACAAACACTGCCTCCACCTTAACTCTGAATATTTGGACTGACAGTAACCTGATCTTTTCACCCCAAAATTGAATCACCTTTCCCTCACTCTTTACTGCTCTCACCAAGTTTTTGTGATGATCCATTCATTAGTTTTGGCATAATACGAGTATAATTTAATTCCCTTTTTGGATACATCATTGAACTCCCTGTCTGCAAATTTCTGGAGCCACCACAACACATATAACATGATTTTGTCAAATGAAATTTGACAATCTTAAGAGGGCATTAAAAAAAACTCTAACCTGGCATTGAGGGCAGAGCCCAGCCTTCCACCTCCTTATTTGGGACGTCAATCACCTTTTCATGTGCCCAGGTTCCATCCTAAAATTATAAAAGATACAGAGCAAAATTGCAGCATAAACAAATTTAAACATTTGAAATTAAATCTTCTTATAAGGAGTACATATGTATTTCTCACTATAACAATTTATTGTCCTTGCTATATTTGTTATAGACTTGATATATCTCAATTTGCTAAACTACAGCTATTAAACCATAAGGCTAAACAAATTTGAGGTGCCTATTCTTAACTAACTCAAAACCTGCAAAATCCAAGAACAGCTACTTTTTTTTTTTTAAATATTACAAATATATGCCATAAAGAAAACCAAAATCATACTTGTATGATTTTCATTGGTGGTGCTAGTGTGGGGTGGACAGGGGGAATAAGCCTCACAGCTGCGCGGGCCATCTAGCTCCTTAGGCAAAAATAAAATTATATACTTGTCTAGCATGACCACCCATGCATGAATTTTTTATTTATTTTTTTTTAAACAGAAGCAAAAATCATAATAAAAATATATTAAAGTGAATTAAAACAATGATTTTACCAACCAGGTATGTACACCTATTTAAAATGATTAATTTTTACACTATTTTGTTTTTATGAAAGAAACTGAAAATACTTTATTTTTGGAACAATTTCTTTGTTTTGATTTATTTGTTCATGATGTTCAAAAGTACAGATATTGGATCATGCTTTATGTGTGTGTGCGAGTTCGTAGCCTAAGCATGGTACTGCTAAGGTAGCATCTGATCCAACAGGGTTTCATAGGTTACTGATACTGTGGACATTTTGTTGAGATGTGATGCTAAACAAGTCATGTGTTTTTTATTAGGTCTTATTAGACAAGAACAAGAATTTGTATTTCAATTATTTATTTATTTTTATCTTTTTATTTATTTATTTTTTTTTTGGGGGGGGGGGGTTTAAGTTTATTGTAAATCAGCTTAAATTTCTTTTTTATAGGCACCAGGGGCTTAGCTCCTGAACAACCTCCAGAGTGTCCCGGTGCTGCCATTGACGTGCTGCCCAACCAAAATGCATATATTATGCATTCTGATAAGGAGAGCTATCGTGCTCAACACAGAATTAGGCCAAGGCCAACAGTGGTTTAAACGACTGATCCTACTGTAATATCACTGTGCTTGGGCAACACATTATTTTCAAGCCTTTATTAATACACCGTGTTTACCAAGCCTGGAGTACCTAATAGTGATAGGGAGAGCTGTTTGTTTAATTTCTCTGTCCTAAACATATTTACACATTACATTAAATACAACGACAATTTAACAAGATGGAGTCACTACAGACTCTCACTACAGAATCAATAGGCTGTTCTCATTTATATGGTGAAAATAAAGCACTAAAGGCAAATTTTTTGATTTATAATAATTTCAAAATGTAAGAATCAATAAGCAAATGTCCAAATTAATTGTAGGTCTTCTGTATGTTTCAGTATAGAGTATTACAAGCAGTACAGTTACATTTCATTTTTACTTTATACATAAAAAAAACTTTATAACATACAACTTTATTGTCGACCTGGATGGGTCGACCTAAGGCATGACTTTTGTTAGTATTATCATTTGTAGGATTGCATGGTGATCAAAAGGCTTTTGTTGTAATTGATTGTTAAGTCTGTGTTTTAAGAAATGGGTCATGGAATATTTAGCCAATTTTCTGAAAAGAACCAAAGTTGTTCAAGTATAATTCACATAAAGCTGCATTCACAGCGAATCCAATTTTTCTGATCGGAACGCCACTGAACCAAACAGAAAATTGACTCAGTTGGTAAGAATAGGGGCGCTGGCATTCAGTGCTTCAGAAACACGGTCTAAATTTTGGTTCGGATCCAATATGAATGCAGCTAAAATTCCAGCTTTGTATCTTATTTTAAAGGTGCAATAAAGAGCATTTTAAAAAAGAAATGTGAATCACACATATTTAAATTTTTTAGTACCTTTCACGAATTCTAAAGCAGCTTAGAGTACACAATTTTTATTCACTATGTTCATTACATACAGTACCTAGATGATTGTCATAAATAAATTTCTACAATTGATTTTACATGGAATCAAGCTGATGAAGCGTTACTTAGAAAAATATCATAAGAGCAAATGATCATGATCAGGAAAGAAAAAACATTTTTTACATTCATATGTAAGGACATATGCTTTGTATGAAAATGCCATCCATGTTAAATTGAAAAATAAATTTATTTATCTATCTTCAGACAGGAAGGCCAAGTATATGCCAAACAGCAAAATTTAAGCAGACAATACCTTCACAATACAAACATACACACAAGATGCTCTAAGTGCCCAATCACACATATTATATCGGCTCAGGGCCGCCTTAACTACAGTCGACTCAAAAACGAACGTCCCATTCACAGATGGCATTTGAATCAGCTTGGGATGCATTGTTAACACTCCCATCTATTTGCTGTTGCATTCCCCTTCATATTTACAGCTTAAAAAGCACTACCTGAACAGTTACTCTCCCTTGAAGAATTTTACAACACTTTTTTTTTCTGTACAATTTTTTTCCAGTGGGTTTTGTGCCAGGTAGTGCTTGGCGACCTAAATACAGTTTACGTTGATATGAAGATCAAAAGCAAAAGAAACAAAACAAAAAACAAAAAAAAAACTTGGACATTGACTGACATGTGGCAGAGATTCCATATATTTGTGTGGGGTGGAGGTAGAGGGGAACAGTAGTTGAACTGGCCACTATGGCAGGTGGCCTGGGGGATGTGTCTAGGGTGTCCTGGTGGGGCACATTCTAGTAGGCAATCTTACATAATATGTCAGTGTAGGCTATAAGTTTCAACCATGTTTAAAATGAAAAAAAATCTCACACAAACATTTTTAAAATGTAGGCCCTATGATGAAGTTTCTCTGACCCACTCAGATCTGAAATGATTTTGGTAGGGTGAAAGATATTCCCACCTCTATTTCCTTGGAATCGCCACCACTGCATGTGCATTTATCTCTGCCACTAGCCTGTTAAATATCACATTCTGAATGGCCAGTTATTCAGTTTGATAGATGTACAGAAAGGTATATATGGCAATAATAATATTAATTTAATAACAACAACAACAACAACAACAACAACAACAACAACAACAACAACAACAACAACAACAACAACATCATTTATTAGGCGCCCTTCCAAAAGAGATTTGTACAGGTTAAAAACATAGTTATGTAAACTTGTAAAAGGTAATAGATAATAAAGAACTGAATACTTACTTCTTTCATGAAGAATCTCATTACATTACTGCTCAATGCACACCCAACGAAACCTTCGGTTGCAAGAGGGTTGTGAAGGAAACGGATCTCTAGTGGAATAGCGCCCTCATCGCCCATGTTAATAGTCTGCTTAATGGTGTGCTTATCCCAATCCCAGACATTCAGACTCTTTCCATACAAACCTACATGAAGAAAAACCTCAATACAGCATAAACAGCTAAAACCCTCTTTGTTCACTCAATAGGCTAAAATTTAATATACTGTACTTTCAACATATTTATTTCTACCATATTCACCAATTACAATTTTCCCCAAGATTATAATAAATACCAAGGTTATTTATAAAAAGTGACTTTTTCATATAACAATAATTACATTCTTGGTTTATTTAATTAAACATAATACACTAACCTACCAATAATAATAAACAGTTTTCAAAGCAAATATCAATCTAGATAGAAAATACTTACCATTTGTATAGTCATCTGGTTTGAAGCCATTCAGAAAGGCTTTTGGGGCACCCCATTCCGTGCTTATCATGACGTTGTGGAAGGGCTGGTACCAAAAATCATAACCAAATGGTGGATTATTCCCTTCAGCTTCCCATTTGCCTTTCACATGGAAGTCTTCTCCATCTAAAATAATGAATCCACCTAAGAGAAAAATGGCCAAATAGTATAAATAAAAACTCAACCAATCAGGTGCAATGGTGCAACATCTACGAGCAGCTCCACCCAGAGACCTTCTAAGAATTTAAGGGACCTTGGGATTTTCAAAGCATCGTTGTCTCAAATTGGCTGAGTGGGGCATTTTTAAGTAGCAAATAAATATTTTGTTAAAATGCCAAAATCAACAAAGCGGTCTATGCTTTGCCTCTTACCCCATTTGGTTTTACCCTGATGAGGCTCCCAGGTCTTAGGACTGGGGCCAGGCCTCTTTGTCATGACATTGCTCAGGCGTTATAAAAAAATTATTACTGTGAATTATCCAATAAGGAATGGTGAGTTGAGTACCATTTAAGAAATTTCATAAGATCAGTGAAAAATTGTTAGGAGACTATGTTCCTAATTTCTGTCGGGAGAGAATTGCAAAGCCTAGCGTTGGGCCACAAAATTAAAATGCCTGCTCACGAGTACACACATTTGACATGTGACACTTGAAGCACGTTGATAGAGTTCAATGTTCAAAGAGAATCTTTAACGTTAGATTTTGATTGACAGGGAGCCATTATGAGATTACTCTACCTCATAAATATTAATTAGGTAGGAACAACTTTTCATTGGTCAATTCCACCTACAACTGTAGAGAGGGTGTGGTAGTTTTACTACTTTTAAGTACATAGGAAAAAAAACTACTGCACATTGCCTGCCTGAACCGTATGGAAACTGTAAAATTGGAAATGTGAAAATGGCTAATACGGTTTGCTATATATAATTAATAGTAAAATAAATACAACATGATTTTATTTTGGTAGTCAAAAAATTTTACCTTTTCGAAGAGAAGAACTTTTGCACACATTTCCATCCAATCACCAGGAATATCAGAATATTGAGATTATTATTATTATTATTATTATTATTATTATTATTATTATTATTATTATTATTATTATTATCATCATCATCATTCAGGGTCCATATGTTTTTAAACAAGCAAATTTCCAGGACACATTATATTGCTTAACATTTAAAAATCGACGATTTTACGATTGACTGACTATAAAACATGTATGAATGCTGTACTAATTTTAAATGCATGTTAGTTGAGTGTATATTAAGTTTTATCTAACTCTAATTCGGAGGCAATGGATCTGTCTCTTTTCCTCACGCTTGTGGAAAATTCTGTTATTTTTTTTCACACATGTAAGAAAATCGTTGGAAAGCAAAGGAATTCCAATGTAAAGTATAGCAGGGCTGAACTACAGTTGAACTGGAGTAGAATTTTCTCCTTGGCAACACAAATATGCACGTATAATTCTTATCTTATCGATTAAGTGTGTCAGTGCCTTTTGTGGTGACGAGGGGTGGAGTAATAAACGTAATTTAAGTTGGTATGTATTTCAGTCATTAAATATATTACTAAATCACTGTGTTAACTTTTCAAAAACAGTTATAGAGTTGGAAATACTGTATACCTAATTGTTTTCTTTTCACTCTATTCGTGTCATCAAAACATACGACTTGAGCAAGGCTGTTTATTCCCGCTCTCATCTACGCCAACCCATCAGTACTTAGTACAGTAGAGTAGATCACATGCTCACTACATAGAACTGAATGGTCTTTCTGTCTAATCAACTGTCAATGTTGTTTTGGTTAGTGACAACGTGGGAAAATATGTTTGAATATAAAATAACAATTATTTGTTTTACTTACTTTTACTTGGCCTAGGAAATGTCGTGTTCATTGAGAATATCACATCAATTTAAAATCAAAATTTGTGAAAATACTAGTACTAAGCTAGTATCTTAACTAGCAGGTGATTTTATTGGTAAATTATTTTGTTTTAAGTATGTAAGTATGATTGCTTTGCATGCCAAGTGAAATTAGTACCCCTTATTTTGTATTGTTTTACCGTACTGTAATTCTCGGCTAGGCCTAACTGTACGCCTAGCCAGTATGCAGTCTGGCTAAGGAAAGTTTGGTTTCCATTCAATTGACCCAGTGACCTCAAAACATGTCTGAGCATGTGCAGATTGTGCTTATCTGGCTCATTAGCATAACAATACCACACATAAGTCAAATTCAAGTTAGATATGGCTTAAACCAGCCAGCTTCCTATCCTGGTAACAGTACAAGACCTCGATTATAGTGACATAATTTCCACCACAATGGGCGGTCAATAACCAATTTTGCAACCGCAAAAATTTAGTAGCAACTCGGACTGTAGAGTATGAATAACCGATTAGGGATGATCGATCAAGTTCTTTCAGTGGAAACAGGCCCCATAAGAATGAGATAAGTGATGCTACTGTAGTTCTGTTTACAATTTCAAGTTTTTGTCATGAATTCCTACTTGACGTATTTCCAAGCGGTATAGAAATGACTCTTTGGCATATAAAATATAAACACAGTTCACAATGTTGTAACACAATCCTGAAATAAAATTTTATTCTGTATAAACTCTAACAAGAATCCTGTATCAAAATAACACAATAACATTCACATAAACATGTGTTTCAAAAAAGAGCCCCTAGTACACTACTGTACTAGTTTAATATAATACCAATGAGCCATGCCAATAGACAATCAAAACATTTAACATTGAATATAAGCAGAGACCATTTGGAGACACTGTATGCAGTTGAAAAGTGGAGTAGCGTTTGAAAAAGGTTTAAACTGGTTTGAACTAGTGGCTTTATTATGGACCTGTTCACAATATGTTGGAGAGAAATTATAGGAAAAAATTACTGTTATTTTGTAAAGAATAGAATAGCTTTGACAATATTTGATATGCACATAACACAATACAGATGGTGATCATATGGACATATTTTTGAGGAGACTTGTCATTTATTTCCACTTTTCATATATAACTAGAAATGTTCCTTTTACGCTGCACCAGCAAAAGCATAGCCTCCCCACGTTGAGGTTTTTCGCTGAGAAATTAAAAGTAGGCATTTGAAACCAATCAAGACTTACCAAATGTTGACTTTTGTGGAAACAAAAAGCAAATTTATAACAGCGACAACAACAACATCATGAAAAAATATTATAATTTCTCCTAATTTTTTTTCTTTTTTTTTGGGGGGGGGGAGGCAGAGGGAGGGAGGTAGGTAATGATGGTATTTAGCATAAATTTCCTGATTAGTGAAATATTATGCATATGAGCAATTAGCATATTCACAGACTACCAAAAACAAGGGTCATTCTTTTTATTAACATCTTGCATTTTGCCAAGGTTGAAACCAATCTGACCGAGGGCGAAAATTGTTGAAATTTTGGCATTTAACCTAGCTACAACTGGTTTGTAACGCTTTAGGAAACGCAAATTGTATTTGCATAAAAGTTTAATTACCTGTTTATTATATTTAAAACATGTGGAATGACGTCAAATTTTAGTATGCGAATCATATTGTATTCGCTTGGAGAAGATCCACGCATGGAAAGTGACCAAAGTGCCAGACAGAAAAACCAATCCAAAAAGATAGGAAAACAAAACAGAAGAATAAAAAAATATTTAAAAAATGAGAACAAACTCAATGTTTTTTCCACCAAAGCCAATAATAATAAATTAACTATTATACTTATTTATTGCCTAGTCGAATCCAAAATGCCATTTAAAAATTGTTCGATTACAGATTGTTAGTAGAAAACACAACAATTTGGCATGTAAAATAAGTTCGACTTAGAAATTATTCGAGTTAGGCAAAAGACGACTTAGGCAAGTTTAACTGTAGTAATAAAAAATAGTCCAGACTTCACTACTAGTATGACAGTTATTATCTAATATCATTTTTAGTTATAATTCTACTCTTACTAAACTATAAAAATAAAGAGAATGAACTCACATTTTGCTTCCATTGGGTCATCACCCTTCCCCATGGCGCTAATCATGATTTCACCATTAGCAAGACAATGTGATGTGTGTGGTATAGCTAGGCCACTCTTAGTTCTTACTTCTTCAGGTTCCACTACCTAAAAAAAATAATAAAGTTCAATTCCTGTAACAGCAGGATCTTTTCTCACAACTAAAACAACTCCACTCCATTATGTAGGCCTCAATATGAGACTAAAACCTAATTCGCACTGGACAATTTTCGGTAAAACACGGCTCATGGTAAGACTTACAGTGGTTGTGAAAAGCAACTAATGATAAAAATCATGCCAGGAAAGGCGAGTCAGGAAGTTTCATCTAGTAGCGCTGTCCCACTGGGCTCTTTGGCTCGGTGAAAATGATGGCTCGGTAAGTTTTACTGGGCATTCAAGACTCGGTGAAACTTACCGTGCGGTTTGGTAAGTCTTCAGGTCAGGAAAATTTACTGGGATGTTCGCACGGGAGTTTGTTTTTTTTGGTAACACTTACCAGCAGGTCATTAAACTTTTAATTACCTTATGCATGCTTGGTTTCCGTGGGTTTGTGGAGACATCCACCACATAGATCCTTGAGGAGTAGAGGCTTGGCATAATCAGTCTGTTCCTTTTCTTGGTTGCATCATTGCAACAGCTACTGCAAGCATTCCAACCAGTATGATGCAATTCATCATTCAAGTATGGCATTGGAAGACGGTGAATAACCTAAAATAAATAATAATAGCAATAACACTAATATTAATAATAATTTACTATACAGCTCCTACTTTCTTTTAAGGCTGTTTTATCATTAATATAAATGGTATATTTGTATTCTAAAATTATAATATTAATGCTATATATATACAATATTAATAAAACTAAGTACCAAATTACAGTTCTACAATATATAATTATAAACAACAATCAGGGTTGGAAAAAGACCATGACCGTGTGACCGGCGATCAGAGGCATTGGGGGGGGGGGGGAGAATTTAAAAAATGAACTATTGGGCTATATATTGTACAGATAACATTTGGTGCCCATATATGGGCAAATCCCATTAATTTCTCACATAAAGTTTAAAGGAAGAATATACTGATGAGAAACACCTGTTTTGCCTATAAACACTCTGCGTACACTATTCAGTATTCAGCCACATGGCGGATGTACAAACATGGAGTGCTGCTCTATTTATTATACTACATATCCCTTGTTCTTACCGCGAGACAATTTAATTTGGCCCGTGAAAAAAAACAAAATAATGAAATAAAATATTTAAAATATAGTTCAATGAATACATTTTCAATAAAAATAAAGACAAAAATGAAATCCCTGGGTTATGTGTACAGGGTGGTTTGAAAATGAGTAAGAAGATATACCATAGGCCATAAATAAAACAAATATAGCCAAAAATTGATCACTCTGTACTTTCGTGGTCCTATTCTTCATGTTACTTCGAACAAGCCATAAGCGTATTATGATTTAGGGGTTTCCCCACTCAGATCTAAAATTAAACCCTGTATTAACAGAAATATATATTTTAAAAAAACCTCCCAAGATTGGTATACTTATTAGCTCTGTTAAATTTAACATAGCAGTCCAGAGGAAGTAAAAACTTTATGAAACTTGTTAAAAGTTTAAGGACTGCAGAGTCCTAACGGCTCATTTATGACTCATGGTAGAAGAAGCTCATTGCTAAATCATAAAAGGTAAAACACAACTAAATTTAGGTTATTGTGAAAATGTATTCATCAGATTACTACTATATGTTTTAAACATTTTTTTCATTATTTCGATTTTCTTCACGGGCCAAATAACATTCGTAAGTACAGTACACTTATTTTACATGATAATAAACAGCTAATAAACCAAATAAGTGCTTGCAAAAATACATTTCGATTGTCCTGCAAATAATTCTAGTCATACAGGACTCTATATGCCACCATGTTCTGTCTCAGTGTTTACAATCAGATGTAACGATTTCTATCAACTTGGCAGAGATTATCTTTGGGTCATGAGATCAACTCTTGAACAATAATTTGGCCCTTCAAACAAACCAATTAAGAACCAGGGGTATACTGTATATGGTCACTCATATATAGGGCCTAGGCACAATTTTTCATTTTTTTATTATTGTATCATATTATTATTATTATCCATACATGAAAAAATGCCACATAGATATAAATATCTAGTAGTTTAGTAGAAAAAGATTATAAGAATAACAGAGAGTTCACACACCAAATAAAGACCTACCCTTAGGAACTTGAACATTTTTAGTAGAGTTAGCTTTGTGATAAATTGTTTTTAATACTAAATTGAAAAAGTCTCAAATTAGAGGGTCTCAGAATTCGAAGGGTCTCCAGCTGCAGGGCAAACATACCTTACAATAGGTTGATGATCGTGGATCAATGTCGACTGTAGCAAGATAGTCAGGCCTACCCATTTCTGTGTTACGATAGATACATGGGATATACAGTAACTCCTCCCTCGGGCCTTTCATGGCATCTAGGGGAGTTCTGTATCCTGGTCCTGGGCAGCAAGCTATAACAAAATATGCAAGCATTATTATGAAATAAATGGCTATAATACAAACTATCAAGGAAAATATAAACAATAATTTAGACCATATAAATCAGTTGGTTGAAGTGATATTTTAAATAGACAATGAAGTTCAAGGGACCTGAATATCAGCTTCATTTCCTCAACACCCCTTGCACGAAATTTAATAACAATCCTACAGATGGCCAGATATGGCACTCTCAAACTTAAATTTGAATGAAATTTTTTCATTTTTTTGCATTATTCCTTTTTGCATTATTCAGTTATGCACCTCTTTGCAGATATGAAGTAACGGTAGCAGGTCAAAACAGCAATAAACCAAAACAGCAATAACCAAAATGCAATGAACCAAAACGACAATGACAAATACCAAAACGGCAATAACAACGGCATAGACCAAAATGGCAAAGGAGTGAAATCAAATCAAATTATGAAGTGGCACCGGGTGCGGGCCGCAGTTTATAATTTTCTGAATTGTTTTGAAATTGTCCCGATAGGCAAATCGAATATTGCCATATGGGCTCTTTTTCCTAATTTTAATGTTTATTATTATTATTATTATTTCGCATTTTTTTACTTTTATGACATAAATTGTTTAGCCTCATTTTTGTATTTAAAGTTTTATTTGTTTAAATGTTTTAGTGCTTTTATTCCTTCCCCCCATCCTACCCAATATCTTTAACAGGGCCGGCGGAACGTTTTTCAAAGTGGGGTGCCCACTTATAAGATGAATGGGAATATGAATCATGCAGATCTGGAAAAACCTAGGAGATGGGGGGTCAACATTTTTCCCAAAAAGGAAAGGGTATCCGGAGGTCCTCCCCCAGGAAAATTTTGATTTCTAGATGGCGGGAAATGACCTTTCTCGACTTTTGAGCTAGGTTTCTAATGACTTTGTTCTTCAAAATTCAAGGTTTCCCCCTCTTGAAAATGGTCAGGTAAACTTTCTCATTCTTATTACAGTAAATAGGCCTGTTATTTGTGTATACTGTACATGAAAAAAAAAAATTAGTTGTTGCATACATATTCTTTTTTCAATGAATCGATAAGCTCCAAAGAAAAGGAGCGGGGGTTCCAGGGTTCTCCCCAGGAACAATTTTGAATCCTAGATGGCGAGAAATGAGTTTTTATTACTTTTAAGTTCTTCAAATTTCAAGGTTTTCCTCTCTTGAAAGCGGTCAGGTAATTTTTTCCCCATTGTTATAACTGGAAATAGGCCTTATATGTGTATACATAGGCCTACATAAAAATAAAAAATTAGTAGTTGCATACGTATTCTTTTTTTAATGAATCGATACACTCAAAAGAAAAGGGGGATATCTAGAAGGCGGGAAATGAGTTTTCCCGACTTCTGAGGTGTCTTAATTACTTTTAAGTTCTTTCAAATTCAAGGTTTCCCCTCTTGAAAACAGTCAGGTAAATTTATCCCTGTTATTACAGTAAATAGGCATTATATGTGTATACATACAGTACATAAAAAAATTGAGTAGTTAGTTGCATACGATTTTTTTTTTCCATTAATCCATAAATCCCAAAAAGAAAGGGATTCCTAGAAGGTGGGAAATAAGTTTTCCCGACTTCTGAGGTGTCTTAATTACTTTTAAGTTCTTTAAAATTCAAGGTTTTCCCCTCTTGAAAATGGTCAGGTAAATTTATCCCATTGTTATTACAGTAGGCCTTATGTGTGTATACATACATTAAAAAAATTGAGTAGTTGCATACGATTTTTTTTCCATGAATCCATAAATCCCAAAAAGGAAGAGGGGTCCGGGGGTTCTCCCCCGTGAAAATTTGGATTCCTAGAAGGCGGGAAATGAGTTTTCCCGACTTCTGAGGTGTCTTTTAATTACTTTTAAGTTCTTTAAAATTCAAGGTTTCTTCTCTTGAAAACGGTCAGGTAAATTTTGCCACTTGTTATTACAGTAGGCCTTATGTGTGTATACATACATAAAAAAAATTGAGTATGTGTGTATAAATACAGTACATTTAAAAAAATGAGTAGTTGGATACAATTTTTTTTTTCATGAATCGACAAATCCCAAAAAGATAGGGGGTCGGGGGTTCCCCCGGGAAAATTTTGATTCCTAGAAGGCGGGAAATGAGTTTTCCCGACTTCTGAGGTGTCTTAATTACTTTTAAGTTCTTTATAATTCAAGGTTTTCCCCTCTTGAAAACGGTCAGGTAAATTTATCCCATTGTTATTACAGTAGACAGGTCTTATGTGTGTCTACATACATTTAAAAAAATTGAGTATTTGCATACAATTTTTTTTTTCCATGAACCCATAAATCCCAAAAAGAAAGGGGGGGGGGGTCCAGAGGTTCTCCACAGGGATAATTTTTATTCCTAGAAGGCGGGAAATGAGCTTTCCCAACTTCTGAGGTGTCTTTTAACTTTTGAGTTCTTCAAAATTCAAGGTTTTCCCATCTTGAAAATTATTATAATGATCTGAATCAATGAACCCAAAGAAAAAAGGGAGGTTCGGGTTCTTTCCGGGAAAATGTTAATTTCTAAATGGTGGGAAATGAGTTTTCCTGACTTCTGAAGTATCTTATAGCGATTTTAATTTAAGTTCTTCAAAATTCAAGGTTTCCTCTCTTGAAAACGGTCAGGTAATTTTTTCCCAAAATCCCAAAAAGAAAGAGGGTTGGGGGTTCTCCCCTGGGAAAATTTTGATTCCTAAAAGCGGGAAATGAGCTTTCCCGACTTATGAGATGTCTTTTAATTACTTCTAATTTCTTCAAAAATCAAGGTTTCCCCACTCTTGAAAATGATTCAATAGAACCAATGAACCCCAAAGAAAAAAGAGGTCCTGGTTCCCCCGGGAAAATTTCGATTTCTAGAATGCTGGGAAGTGACCTTCCCTGACTTCTGAAATGTCTTTTAAATGACTTTTTAAGTTCTTCAAAATTCAAGGTTTTCCCCTCTTGAAAATGGTCAGGTAAATTTTTCTCATTTTTTTATTTTATGTGTGTATACATAGGCCTACATAAATAAATGAGTAGTTGCATGCATATTCTTTTTTTCCATGAATCGATAAGTCCAAAAAGAAAGGGTGATCCGGGGTTCTCTCCCGGGAAAATATTAATTTGTAGATAGCGGGAATGAGCTTTCCCGACATTTGAAGTGTGCTGTAATGACTATGTTCTTCAAAATTCTAATTTTCTGATTGTAACATAACAAACAAACAAACAAAAAATCTGCTCACATGTCCTGAAAAGGGTTAGAATTTTTTTCCGGTCACACAAAAATCTCCAGACATTATTTTTTGCAAAAAAAAGTGGGGGGGGGGGGCTCAGTTGAACTGAATTAAACTTACGGAAAGGTTTAATCAAGATACAAGGAAGAAATTTTTATTGTTAGTGACGATCCAGTGAAGGGTGTACATTTGAGGGTCTTTTAAATTTTTGAGGACCCAGACCTAAATATCTCTTTAAAGAAAACCAATGGTTCTAAATGAAACATTCTATAATACTTTAAAAGGTCTTGTAAAAAAAATGATTAAATTTTTGTGATGATTCACAGTACTGTATGGTGTGGATCTGAGGACCATTTATAAAGGAAAACGTCCCAGACCACATATAAAATGGATCAACTGAGTCTATCCCAGACGTAAATATCTATTTAAAAAGTTTTCAATGGTAGTAGTCATTTTCATGAGATCCGTGACTAATTTTAGAATACCTTTTTTTCTCTATGGATTTGGCAAGATGGACCAATTTAGATAAAATATAGCTCCTATATACCTCCCACATATGGGGGGAAAGTCCCGTTTGGGGGCGTTTTTCAAAATGGCCACCTGTTCATTTGGACGCTTGTATCTCAATAACCACTGGTCAGAGAGGCTTGATTTTGATCTCAAACTGTTCACAATATGCATGTTCCTATTTGTTGTAATACAAATTTTTCTCCACAAATGGCGGGAAATGCAATTTTTGAAAGTTTGACCTTTGACCTTGTATTGTCATATCTCGGTAACTACTGGTCACAGAGACTCACAGGAGATTCATGTTTATATTCGTCTTAATGAAAAAATATTCAAATAGTGACCGGAAATGATACATTCCAACCTTTGACCTATTGTTGGGTCATTACATGTCAAATCAACCAGATTAAAAAAAAAATTCCTGTATGACCGTCTCAGATTTTGATGAAATTCCATAAAAATGATCGGGTATTGCTAAACCCCGCAAACCCCCAAAAAAACATAGCAAACCCCATCCAAACTTTGTGATAATAATTGAATCACATAGTATAGGACTCACTTGTTATCTCAGTAAAAAAAATTATAATGTTCCCTTCGTAACAGCCTACTGTACCTTTTGGGTAAAATTGCTAAACCCCGCAAACCTCCAAAAACACAGTGCAAACCCCATCCAAACCCTCTGATAATGATTGAATCACATAGTATAGGACTCAACTTGGTATCTCAATAAAACAAATCATAATTTTATGTTCGTCACAACCTATTTTTGGGGTAAAAAGGCCATTTTTTGTATAAGAAAATTGCTAAACCCCACAAACACAGTGCAAACCCCATCCAAACCTTGTGAAAGTGATTGAGATCATGTAGTATAGGACTCACTTGATATCTCAATTGTGATTCAATCATTATCACAGGGTTTGGATGGAGTTTGCACTGTATTTTGGGGGGTTTGCAGGGTTTAGCAATTTCAGGTTTTTCAGTTCACATAGATATCTATATCACTGAGTCAGTGTGCCAAAAAAAAAAAAATCTATGACCCCATGGTGTAATGCATTTTTTTGAGTTGGCATAATATGACTCAACTCTTAAAAAATTGGTCATTCAGGAATTTTTTTTTAATCTGTTTGATTTGACATGGAATGACCCAACAATAGGTCAAAGGTTGGAATGTACCATTTCCGGTCACTATTTGAATATTTTTTTCATTAAGACGAATATAAACATGAATCTCCTGAACAATTTGCAATCAATTGCGAGTCTCTGTGACCAGTAATTACCAAGATATGATAATACACGGTCAAAGGTCAAACTTTCAAAAATCACATTTCCCGAAATTTTTGGAGAAATTGTATTACAACAGATAGGAACATGCATATTGTGAACCAAAATCTAGTCTCTCTGACCAGTGGTTATCGAGATACAAGCATCCAAATCAACAGGCGGCCATTTTGAAAAATGCCCCCAAACGGGACTTTCCCCCCATATCTGGGAGGTATATAGGGGCTATATTTTATCTAAATTGGTCTATCTTGCCAAATCCATCGAGAAAAAAAGGTATCCTATAATTAGTCACGGATCTCATGAAAATGACTCTACTATGGGTGTAAATGTAACTTTCTATAATAGTTTGTAAAGGTCCAGTAAAGAAATTACTGAATTTTTGTGATGACCCGGCAGAGGATGTGAATATGAGGACCATTTAAAGGAAAACGTCCCAGACCAGATATTTTATATACGGGTCAACTGATCTGAATAAAACTTTTGGGAAAGTTTAACCCAAGTTACAAGGAAGATAATATTATATGTAGGGGACGATCCAGGTTACACAAATCAATGGTGATGTTGGTAGTCTGTAAGTGGATACTTACTTGGATCAACCGACAAATTGCCTATTCTTTCTTACACGAGAACAAGCCTCGAAAAATAACAGAAGTCGACTTCTGGCGCCAAGCTCAAGCGGCCCCGCCACCATGCAACTTCTTCATTCTTTTTCGAGTCGAGATAGTAAACACCTCAGAAAGATTTTCTATTGTATTTTCGAACTTTTTTTGGAATATTACTTGCTTAACAAGATCTTCTTTGGATTTTACTGTTCCTGCTTGCTATGCTACGGATTCGCTGTGTGTCTTTTTGTTGCAATTTCAACTTCATTTCTCATTAAAGCAATGGGTAAACGCCCTACGTTCTGTTGTTCAAACAGACATAGTAAGTCTAGTTATTATTATTATTATTATTATTATTATTATTATTATTATTATTATTATTATTGTTGTTGTTATTGATGCTGCTGCTATTTAGCCTCACTTTTACCGTATTTAATCGTCATTACACTTTTTTCTAGTTAGTTTATTTTTTCAAGTTTTTACTTTTATGACATTTATCAGTGTCTGTCAGTTGACCTGTTACCCCTGCATGTACAACCACTCCTTGCAGCAACCAAAAAAAACAAAACGTGTGAAACACTTTTAATCGGTTGAATTATGTGTGAAATTTGGATATGAGATTCTAATTAGCAAATGGCTCAAGAGCTTCCAGGAGGCGAGACCCCACAAGGTGAGGGAGAAACCCAACAATCCCTTCCCCGTCCCTGGACCATGTCTGTCATGTCCCAGCCCAGCCCTTGCTGCAACGTGACCACTGCTTGGGTATTTACCCAAGATCTTGGGTAATTTGACTTGGTCTTGAGTTCTTGGGTATTCCGTTCAAATCCTTGGGTATTTTATTTTTACTAAGAAAATTAAATATTTTTGTCATAGAGAAGAATTAAGAAGTAACAAAGTATATTTCAGTCCATTCAAGTAAGCAA